AAAGAAGCAGGAAAATCTATATTTAAACGTCTGATCAAGATTAATTATTGATCAAAGCTAACTAGTTAAATTAGTGAGGCGGCATCGACTGCTCCAGGAAAAATTATAATTAATCACCTGAACGCCTTGAAGGAAACAGAAGACGTATTGGCAGATGATAAAAAGTGAAAAACGGGTTCTTTTTCACAAACTTGTATTTGCAGCGTGTTAATTTACTTTCGATGTTATATGAACGATTCTGTTTTCGAAGATTATTGAAAAGTTGTGAATAATAAATATATAATAAAAATATAAAAGGAAACTGATTTCTTTTTATAATACATTAAGTGTAAATGAATGCAAGACAACACGAAAGAACAATTAATAATATATAAATATTTAAGGGTAGAGAGGAATGCTCCAAAAATAATGTTGTTATTATTATTTCTGTCTCATTTTCAAAGTTTCTAGAAAATAACTCCTTATTTTATCATCTTGTTAAGGATGTTATTAAAGAGTCGCGTATTATTATTTTTACCATACTCGTATACAATTAAGTTCAGATAAGTACAAGAATATAGCAAGAGCAACCTACGTTCTTAACGATCATTTTGAAAGGACGAAAATGACGTTAATAGTACGAACTTCCGTAAAATGTGTTTTTTTTTCGTGCTTTAATGTGTTTAAGAGCCAGTACCTCAAAAGTGACTGAGAAGATTATTAAACACATTTTCCTCGTAAATTGTTTCAGACGTTTTTGTTTTAATATTCATGCACACGCCACTGTACTAACTGTATTTCAGCAACCAATTTAGATAAATTATCTTTACTCAGTGTGAGTGTTAGAACGTAGTTTGTGTTCACTGCCATTTAGCATATGTAATAAGAATATATAAAGAGGCAAAAGAAATTACCACCGTACTGTAATGGCCTAATTTACTACTTCTTATTGGGTTGCATCTTGAAGATACTTCCTTGATATTAACATTATAAGCGCGAGGGATTATCATAACGTATACAGTATTTATAAACCACAACAAAAACAGCAAATGTTTTACCTTTTTACGTGCATCAAACGACAAGACAGTCAAACACTAATTGAGGAACTACATGTCATATTTAATATGTAATCAAAATCAATTAAACGTCTTGAAAGTAAAAGTTTATGAATAAAAGTGAGCAATGAGTTTCTATACATATGAGAACCAGTATATTCAGGCTTTTTCGCTGATTGATCCTTGTGACACCTCCCCCCCCCCCAGTGGCACAGCGGTATGTCTACAGACTTACAACGGTAGAAACCGGGTTTCGATACCTGTGGTGGGCAGAACACAGATAGCCCATCGTGTAGCTTTGTGCTTAACTTCAAACAAACAAATCCTTGTGACAGAACGTATATAGAGCAAAGAACATTTGCCTTCAAACTTTCACTGTCCGAAGCCAGACAATCAATATATTTTTAAGGTACTGAATCGTAAGTTAGTGATAGACATAAAATGAAAAGAAAGTTTGCATGTACGAGAAGTAATTAACATTGTTTTAAAGAAATAAAAATATTTTACAAAATACAGCTTGTCTGATGAGTTGAAACCTGGTTAGTTGATACTAAAAAGGGAGTTGTAGTGTTGACTATCTGCACATAGAATTACCGACAGATAAACGACGTCTTATAAATATGATAAACGTTTGTATACTCTTCACTTATTTGATAATAATAACACTAACGGTGTAGACTGAGAAAGTCCATAATTGTTGATAATTTACAATATCTACAATTTACAAACCGCAAAGCAATATTTTAAAACATTAAAAGTGCGTAAATATGATTACCTAATACAAATTCAAATTATCCAATGGTCATTTGTGAGCTATGAATACCGAATGAAACTCCTTTATATACACATGTGTATATACTTGTATACTTATAGACTTAACACTAGCCGTTATGTTAATTCTAAAATCTGAAAAGTGAGGACAAACTACAACGTGGGGATCGTAAAATGAGAGGGACCTCAGGAAGTGGGACCTTGCGTAGCATATATCAGATTTAACCTTTATTTGGATTTATCATATGTTAAGTGAAAAAACAAAAAACAAAATGGAACCTAAAAATACACAACATCTCGCGTTCAAAAGGATTTTTCACCGGCTGTAGCTAGATGTGAAAACTGGTTGTTAACGGCCCAGATTCCAGCCCCAAAATATCCACATATCCGTATAGACGATAATGAAATCTGAAACGTCTAGTTAAATAAACATTACTATTAAAATGCCGAAAAGTGTAATTTCTCCTCTTAAGTCTAATGATCTATTACATCACCCAATATAATCACTAATTTATACATGTTGCTAAAATGGGCTCTCACTGGTAATAATCTTGGGTATCACTGTTCAACACGCATGTCTTTAATATCCAAAGTTACTTTTATATGTAGGAAAAGCAAAGTTTGACAGTTTTGAATAAAGCTTCTCTAACTATACTGTTTCGGAATTTTAGTAACATTTTAGAATAATTACCTTTAAACATTCAAAAATATCTTAATAAATCATGCTGTCGAAAATCATTACGTTTATGTCTTGTAAAATTTACGATATAATAATTTGAAATACATTAATAAATCATTTGTACATAAATGTATTGCTTACTTAATTTTTGTTATTAGGAAAACGTTTGGAATCCGTTTTTGTATGCAGATAAAAGCTATTTTCTTAGGCAGATAATTAAATATCGACGATCATATGAACGTTTCTTGGTATAGAAAAATGAATAGATATTCAATATGGAAACTAGCACGAGAAGTATTTGGTATTTGTGTCTATCTTGTGCAGCAGCGAATAATACGATAGTGTCATGGTGACGTACGTAATGCGTTTGCTCTTTTCCAGTTATTAAATGTCATAATTTAATCTCATGCATTAAAATTCTTTAGAAAACATGACCTACAAGCTATTGAATGCATTTTACACGCCCTTTTTGGTAATATAACTTATGGATTTCAGGAAAGTATTAAAAATAAAACAAAACAAAAACTTTTGTATATGTGATCATTGTTAGATTTCAGGCTGAAAGTTATTAACTTGTTTTATTATACAAGGAAGATTTTCAGACTAAACATTAATGTTCAAATAGTATGGGCTATATTATGTTATTTTTATCTTGAAATTAAATAATTTTAAACTGACACAATTGGCTAATCATCTATGCATAAGCATAATAATCAGGCTTGATAAAAGAGTTAGCACAAAGGATTACATATAAAGTGTAATAGACGTAAAATAAGACCCAAAACACGAGAGCTTTCCAATTGTTGACTATTCCTCTTCTTTGTTTTCCTGAAGAAAAATGGTCAACTATTCGAAATCGCTCGAGTTTTGGGTCTTATTTTAACTCCATAATAATCAGGCTTTATGTATAACACAAATAAAAAATTCTGCCTCCTAAACACAGCGGTTTCAAATCAGTTCCCGCAATCGAACCTGAAAACAATTTGAAAATTTGACGACAAATATTGGGAAAGATATATTTATAATTACATCTCTTTTAATGCTGTATTGTAGTTAAGTCAAAGTGATTTTAAATAGAGATAACGGAAAGATAAAGTTACAGGTCCTTAACTCACTTATTTATAGTCTTCTTTTAAACGTATATATTTGTTTAATTAAATAACTAGCTAGCCAACAACCTGTTTAATTGTGGAAAAAAATAATAATTAATTTTATATTTTTCTAAGGGATATTCTAGGGAAAGAGATTCAAGTTTTTTAAAAATATTTATGGTATGGAATTACAGCGGAAATTAAACATTCACAATTGTTTATATAGTACTAGCACATACCCCGTAAAAAATGACGGGGCAAGTACTACCACCCCCACCCCATAGTATACTCTAACCTCACATTTCATAGCTAATTGAAATAAATAAATTTTGCGAAGTCAAGCTTGACCAACTAAAAGGCAGAAAAGTGCAGTAGAGGCAGTCAGACGTCGGTAAATTCCTTTGTGGATCAATCAAAATTAAGATAATTCATTAACTGAATTCGAATAATTATTGGTAGAAATCAGTTAGGATTAACAACTTCTAATATATAGAAAAGCCAGTGCGTTTTGGGAACACTACGTTCCAACAATGAATTTTATATCATGTTGTGTTGATTTCTTAATTTAGAGTCTCCGTTGATTAAAAGAGTTTTTTTTTTTTTTGCAAAAACGATGGTGATATGACAGAAAATAGCTTAATTCAGAAACGATTTTAGTTTAAAATTGAATCGATATTTTTACTTTAATGATAAATTTTATGCACTTGGCACTAATCTAGGGGAACCCACATTAAGTTATTATTTTAGGCTTATTCTACCAACACCCATTACACTTATAAGGTTTCATGCCTCCCCTCCCCCGCCAAAGCCCCCTTGCACCCCGTCATTAAAATCTCAATGGACAGACAGTAATCGAGCTATTCTACTTGAATACGTGCATTCTGACTTTTACGACTCCCATTCGAAATCGAGCGTGACGTGACGTGACCCACATTGACTTTTATATAGGTTAGATGTTTTATTACAAAGAATTTGGTTCCAAACTTAATCTATCGAATGACGACAGCTTTATTTTTCTTCATTCTTGCAGCAGGTGAGCTGGCGTTTAAGGCAAATAAAAATATAGCTGAATTAAACAATATAAGGAAAAATACATAAAACGATAAACAAAACTATTTATAAAACTAAAATAAAAATTTCTACCTCATAGTCTAAATAATGACAACATTTCGTACACACAACGAAAATATATTTTTCATATAAATTCATTGTCTTTATAGAGTTCATAAATATGCCAATACGTACAGTGAGAACAAATGTATAAAGTAACTATTGAGATGATAACCTATTTCTATTTAATTCAACCACAAACTTTCAGAATTCCATTAAGAATATGAATTCCAATATGAGCAAAAATCCGCCACTTAAGTTCTATTTTCTTTCAAATCAAGGAGTGATAAGGAAAATATTAGAAAAAAATCTTACTTTTGTTGATAGAGTGAGGGGATGAATAGATACACTTTCCGTAGGAGTCGAAATGCTGTAACAAGCTTCTTTTGGTGAAGAAGTTCCTTCTAACAGAGAAGAACTTCCATAAAAGGTCTCCATGGGGCTAATTAAACTTATGGATTTTTCTCTTTTTTCGTCGTCTTCGCCCGTCATAAAAGAAGTATCTGAAATGAAATGCTCTTTTTTTGTGGCACAAAAACATATGAAAACAATTGGAACCAAAATTGAAAATTTCAGTTGGGTGGTAGATTATTCACACGGAAAAGATTGAGACAAGAAAAACATCGAACTATATTCATAAAAACAAACACACACATAAAAAAGAAAAACGTAATACAATATCAGGACAAAAAAAAAACCTTCTTCAAATCATTATTGCTTATGTGTGTATGGATAGATGAATAAACCGAAATGGTTTTTTGTGTTCTGGAAAACAAAAAGAAATATACATAAAACGAATGAACATTTTTTTCCACTAACTATTTAATTAGTTAAGGTCTTAGATTATAATACATGAATCTTCTTACGCGATAAGTTGGAGAAAACATTATACTGTTTTTTTTTTTTACAACTAATGTTTGAGCCATGCTTGTATCGTATATGTTGACACTGTCAAGTCCACTTTCTGTTGAAAGAAGTTTCCTTGTAAGTAAGAAAACCCAAATTACTATTATCCAAGAACAATGTCGATTTGAATGATTTCCCTAGGACTTTCACATAAAATGAAGCTGTTTCCTAAATTAGGTTATGGTCATATGTTGACTCTTACGTCAGGAATGAATAATCAGACAGAGAGAGAGCAGCTACATTTATTCCTGTTGACAAATAGTGTTAGTATGTACATAAAAATAATTCATTCAACATTTTACACGGATAACTCATCAGTCACGAATTCATACAATGTCAATAGAAAATTCATATGCATACGAAAGGTAAGGAACATGTTGAAGAAAAAATTAATAAATGTTACACGAAATTTGCGTTTCTTAAGCTTTTAATTCCACAGGATTAAAAGTAAGAGATCCTTGTTGTTTCTTTTTTAATACATGTCTGATTAACGTATCTGATAAATTAAAGACTGAATGAACAGCAAAGGTTGAATGGTAATTAGAAAGCTAAAGAAAAAATATGTTTCCATTTTTTGTATCTTTTATTAAATAATAAATTTACTGCGGAATTATGTTAAAACAAATCTAAGAGAGAGTAAGTATGGGCAGTAATGTGTTAACAGTATGGCTTAAATATTATAGTTTATTTCTAGCCCCATTGATAATGAAATGTTGCAACAATTTACTTAGCGACGAAATTAGACTCTCAGAAATACTTCTGTAGTAAGACATGGATATATTGATTATTGAAATATTCGGTATCTACGGTTTATTAAGGTTTTCTAATGCTACCTTTGCAAAGTGTTGTCAAACCTACATAGAAGAAAACTGATATAAATCTAATAAACCAACCAAAATATTATAGCTTCCTACTGAACTCAAACAATCAATAACATTAGCATCATTTTCTTCATTTATTAGAATGTCAAGTAACTACCGTTGTTTATCTTAGAAGTGTGTAGTTTAACACAGAAGTTTATTTAAATACATTTCATAGGAGTTCAGTATTTATAAAACAAAGTTTTTGGTGTTACCACATCATGAACGCTTTTTTTTAATTTTCTATATAGCTTTAATACAAAATATTCAAAGAAAAACAAAACTCAGACACTAATATTGCATTACGCTACCTAGATAGTCTTTGTAACTTTTAACCTAATGACCAAAGTATAACGAATTCTTTTCTTAGTACTGTATTTTCAGTGACATTCATAGAGAAAACCAACTTTCAAATAAGCTTTTTCACGTTACTTCATTTACATACGAATACGAGAATTAAAACGAAAGCTTTGTTCTTGCTATACCTTCTTATTTCAAGTTCATCCTCTTTGTTCGAAAGTGTTAAGAATGCGTAGATGAAGATCTGTTTTATTTATTCGTAGTGATGACTGTTTGTTTTTCTCCCTAAAATCCTATAGTTTCTACGTTTCTTTACAACAGACTGAAGACATCATTTTAAAGGCAAAATGACATTGACACGCACGTGCACTATGTCGCGTGGATAAAGAGTTTCCATTGTTACTTCATTTCTTAGAAATTAAGCTCAATCCGAAATGCATTGTTTTTTCCAGAAATATATAATTAAAGTGAGAGCAGTGTAAATATTCCCATCTAAAAAATATTGCCTAAATAACTTCCCCTGATTTGGCTTCTGTCTAGATAAAATAGCAGTTGCGTTAGAAACTGTGCATATTATTGTTTTATACTTAAAATCCATTAATTTTTTGATTAAGGAATATCTTATAATGTTGTATTACACCAACGTAATTATTACCTCCAAATGTTGATCTGCTGAGAGTTTGTGCTGGGATTATGTCAGGTCCTTTATCATCTAGCTCACTTAAGTCACTCGCATCTTTCCACAGTGGAGTTTGAGACCTGAAGAGGGAAAAAATAAAACCCATTTAGACTTGAGTTCACAGAAATTTATAGAACAATATAAATTCGCGACATTAGTAGATTAGTTAAGAATTGACAAAAATATAAACTATTGTAAGTATATATATATATGATTAGAATGGATGGCGAATAAAATATCAAAATATTTCTGTTCTGCTGACGAGCTCCACCGCTAATTTTTAACAGAAGACACTGATGTTACATTTATTTTTTTTTGTCTTTAATAAGACTGGTATTGGTTGATCTAAGTTCTAGAGTAAGTTGAATTCAACGAACTATATTAAACTTCACTAAAACACTATCTTCTAGTAAAGTTTTCCTATAATTAAGAACACATACTCTAAACGTCTTCAAAGCAGTCAGATTTTTCGTGTACCTATTTACAGCTAAAGTTACGGCCTCTTTTCAAATTGTAGTTACTCGTTTAATTTAGATAAAATGTAAACAAAATAGGTACGTCAATTTTTTCTAGTGTATATTGTAATTTGTCATTGTTTGTTCCATAACATTTTCCAAACAAAAGTCACGATCAATACTTTTACCAATCTGTTTTTTTTTAGCTATTTGTTCTGTTGTCTCTAATTATTGGATTTTCTGTCATAACTTTTTATGTAACTTTACTGTTAGTTATTGTTTTGAAATTGAAAATGTTGATGTGAAGAAGAGTTGATAAAATAACTTTACGTAATTTATACACAGGATATTAAAACAGTAAGGTTTTTTCATATTTCACCTCTTGCATATCATGAATTCTGTACGTATAAAACAGGATTTGGGGTAAAATTTAAAAATCCGTTTAACTTCTGAGGTGAGCAATATCTTAAAATATATATTATTCTAGTTCACATTATTATTTTAATCGACCAGAGAACATAGAAATATCAGTGAACTTACTTATCTGGATGAGTTCTCCTAGTCTGGCCAGCTTGGAATGATAGATTAATGTGAAAAGTGGTCTGAATTTTTCTTCAGTGTCATTTTTCATGTTAGATTGAAACAAGAACGAGTTAAAAGCTATAATCTACGACTTCTGAGTAAAAAAGGAATGACATCTTTCGTCCTTCCTTTGCTTCTGACTGATGATTCAAAAACACATAATAGCAAACTATATAAAGGGAAAAAATATACTGCAAAGTTATATTGATTTTCTTTGCCTCTATTATTTATAAAAGACCTTAAAATAAAAGCGAAACTGTCTACTTTTCCATAAGAAAAGGTTTTCGAAGTTTGATCTGTGAGAAGAAAACTGATGAATGTTTATAAAATGGAATGCAGTGGTCTTTTAATACCCAGCCCTAATATTTTATAATCACTCTGATTGCCTATTAAGTTACTGAAATTTAAAGCTACACTTTAATGTTGATCACAGAGGATTATAAAAGATAATTTGCAACATAATGCACGTTAAAGAGGGAAGATTGTTTTTCCATAGAGGGATGCGTTATTGATTTTTATCATAATGATATGAAATGTTCTAATTTCATTTTTTAAAAGTTGTATAGCCTAAATGAATGTAAGTACAAAAAATAATTTATTTAAATATTTTGGTCACGAGTTGTTAGTTTAAAAAAATAAATTTCCGTGTGAAATTTCATTTTTATCAAACTTTAGTACTAGTTATGTGATTGTGCTATTGTGTTTCAGAACTTAACGTTTGCAAAGCTAATTGCTTTTGAGCAAACAAAGTCCATCAATCAATCCGCCTATCTACCATTTTTATTTGTATTGAGAAATTTAACTACTAATATATCAGTAGCTTCAGCATTATTATTAAGATAATTACAATGACAAGTAAGCCTGATTACTAACCTGCTAGTTTCGGTATTGTATTGTACTAAAGCGTATTAACTCTATACCAACAAAGAGTTTTATCACATATTTTAAATCATGTACTAACCTTTTCTTTTGCGCAAATTTTTATACTTGATGAGGATGACAACAACGACAGCAGCTACAACAAGAAGAGCTACAACAGCAATAAGAGCAACTAACACAGGTCGAACAATGACTGATTTTCCCGTCTTTCCTAAACCAAAGTAAAGAAAAACACGTAGGAAACAAAATCAATGACTTATGTAACATCTTTTCTTCGCTGATATGTAGAAATAATTTGCAGGCTCAACGAATAAGTTAGGTTTTTGTAAAACGAGAACATTATTTTTCTCACTTATCGAATATATATATATATATATATTCTGAAATTTGCTTATACTAGCTATATTTGCTGTTACAGAAATAATGACTGTGCGGATAATGCATAACTCTATTTCTTTTGTAATTTTTTTTTAAAAATACACTTTTACCATCCCAAACTTTTCATTTCTTATTTTTTCAATACGTTTCACTCATCTGTTTACTAAATCTGTAGTTTCAAGTCAAGACAACCCAAAAAAAAAACGAACCGACCGATTTACACGTGTTTGGTGTGTGGTTTCAGTTGAAGAGAAAACTTATAATTGCAACACAAGAAATGCTTAGTTTTGCTTCAAGTGTGTAAATAACACGAACTACATAGAAAGAAACATACAAGTATTTGCAGGGAGACTTGTGTTTATAGTCTATAAATATTAAAAATCCTCCACTCTTGTTTGCTGTACACTTAAAGTTACTGACTTTATTTTAAAACCATTCCTGCAAGGTGATAAAATCACTTTTGATTGAATGTATTTTATTCAAATTTCTCTTAATTAGTTTTTAATAGCCACGTATCAGTCGTCAGGAGATTTTCTTTTCAATACCAGAAGTCATCAATTTTACTTGGTCTATGACAGTCAAAACTATATCTAGAATAATACTCTTATTGTAATACAAATAATTCTATGCAGTTGAGAAATAAGCTACATCTCGAAATAAGTAAAAGATTAATTAGAGTAGCGCGAGAGAAAATTATCGGCAGTCAAATGTGATTGTAATCACACTTATTTCCCCAAAGACCATCACTGGTTCTCCAAATTAGATATTTTACTGAACCTTTATGCAATACATATATCTTCAAGGTAATTATTGTTGTACACATCCACGAAATGCTTTTGCAAATAGGCCAATAATTATATAAGAAATTCACACAACCAAAAATGTCAGAGAACATTTCATTCATTAAATATCGATACCTAAACTAAATGATGGAATTCTGACTTTTTTTAATGAAGAAAACGACTAAAGACGTTTGCGAATGTTTATTATTGTAGAAATATCTCACAGCAAGGAAACGTCCATATTCGACTCACTACCAGAAATACACCAACGGTATTTCTAGTTTTTTAAATCACTGAATGATGCCTGACACAAATCGTCTTGAACGTTGCCCAGGCGTAGTTTTAAGAGATCAGAAGCGACTGAGTATGTCAGAAATCCTGTGCTCGTGAATTGTACAAGTAGTTAAAACACAATGTCGGATATTCGTCTAACTTAAGAACTTCATGAAGACTTTCGTACTTTTTCGTTGAGCATAAATTTATCAATGGTTGTTAAAATAGACAATTTTTTTTTTACACATTTCTCTGACGGTAAAATTCATCATTATTGTGGTAGTTTTAAAAAGGAAAATCCATACGCCTATTTTATGTAGAGAAGTTTTTTAAACTATGCTGCATAAATAACAATGCATTACATAACAAAAATTAATTAAATCTCAAACTCTTTAATAAACATCGGGCATAGAATATTTCGTTAATTAAGACAAAATGCAATAGAGTAAGCAACAGAAGAAAAATAATCTAAGCGCCAACGATATAATTACACGACAGTCTCACGTAATGCTATCATTTGTTTATTTTATTTCATTAATTTGGGTACTTAAACAAAATAATTCGCTGTACTTCAGTTCTGATTGAATTAAGTAATTTAATGCAATATGATATAGTTAAGTAATTTTCCATGAATTATGCAAATTGGTTTTTATTGATGATTCACTTCACTTAGTATTTAGTTTGAAAACTTCAAACCTATAGTTACAGCGTTATCTAATGAACTGGTTTTTTTTTTACTGATGAGCAGCAGTTAAAAATAAAACAAACGAGTAAGTTAGTTTACTACATTTCACACAAGATATACTTCTAAAGCCTTGGATTGTTTTATCACTAGAGTTTTTTTATTCTGATATATTGTTCCCTGTTTTAAACTGTTTGTTTGTTTTTTATGGATTTCGCGCAAAGCTGGCCGGCCCTAATTTATCAGTGTAAAACTAGAGGGAAGGCAGCTAGTCATCACCACACACCGTCAACTCTTGGGCTACATTTTTACCAACGAATAGTGGGAGTGACCGTCACATTATAACGCCCCCACGGCTGAAATGCCGAGCATGTTTGGTGTGACGGGGATTCGAACCCGCAACTCGCAGATTGCGAGTCGAGCGCCCTAACCACCTGTTTTAAACTACATGAATTGAAATTTGTGGATAGTTTGATTTTACATAGGGAAATCGTGAAGTCTGATTAACCTATTCTATAACGATTACGATCTTTGTACCAGCATGTCTGTCAAGTTCTCCTAGCAACTATAGATAAAAGATAAACATTTTATGCATATAATAATCTATATCAAAAGCCCTATAATACGCGTGATTCCAAACTTTCCGTAACTTTCACTATGTATAGCTTTAACATCTGTATTGAGAATTGAGAACATTTTTCAAGATAAAAGACAAAAATCAACAAACTTCAACGCTCCTACATTGTTTATCTGTATGTTTATTGTCGTTGTGGATGAGATTAAGTGGGTTCAACCACGCGCCGTTTAGAACAATGTATAAAATAACATTTTAACCCATTGGTAATTCTTGAATCATATACAGACACTTGGATCAAAAACTTGATGGTGTGGCAGACGAGATTAACTTCATTATAGCAAGTAGCTCAAACAGTGAACAAGGTGTCAGAATAAAGTAAATCCTGGCGATAAAAAACCCAAATCTATATTGAATTCAAATCCATCAGCTATATAAATTCTTCTATTCTCTATTTTATTTTAGTACTCTGATTGACTACTTTCTTTGGAATCTCAGTGAATATTGGGTTAAACAACCATTTTCTGCGATAATGTATGATTTGAATGTTATTCATTATTTCAAAAGAGTCACATAATACACATTCTGCAATAAAAACGTTACCCACACAATTATACCACTTCCATCAGCTTACACTGTCGGTACAAGACAAGAAGGGTGATGTATCTCGTATGTTTCCCTTCATATTCTATTTTATCAGACAATACAGGAAAGGATAAAATACTACTCGTAAGACCAGATCACATGTTTCCAGTCATTCATTAATCATGGATTGGGCTTTAAAAATTATTTAAGCCATTCTTTCCTGTTTGCATCTGAGATAAGTAGTTTTAGGCTTGTATCTTGCCATATGGCAGTTTTGTAAAGTCCTTCGCAAGATTTGGTTGGGCATAGTTCAATCCTAATGACTGTTAAAGTTATCGATCAATAGGAACATGCTCTAACGCCTGTTGTACTTTACAAGCCCATCCATTGGACTTTTACGTCGGTTAATTACCAGCAGCTGATGGCATAGTTTTTTGTAGTGACAGACACATTCACTATGAATTGACACTCTTGATAGAATCTAATGACAGATGTCTTTGAACAGGCAGAAAGAAAATGGTCTTTGATAACAAAGATACTTCTAGACAGACAGCTACTATCGTACGTCTTTTAAAATTTTAAAATCGTATTCATTGCATAGCAATCAAGATATCACAACGTTTATACAATTATAGGGCTCAAGCAATCATATGGTACGTTACATGATTTGTCTAGATAGCATATGCATATAAATAAAATGTTTTAAAATATGTTTGTGCGTGTGCGTGGAGGAGACCTACTAGTGGTCAGTCAACGTAGATCATTATATATATATTATGCTTTTAGCTTTAGTTATGTCACTGGATTGGAAGTTCTGGTATAATTATTGTTTTAACTTGGTATGGAATACGCTAATCAAACACTTAAAACTTCTTTATTTCTATCTGTCATTGGATCACTGATGCAGTATATGTATAATTGTTAGTGACATAAGGATGCTTATCAAATTCATAAATACATTAGAACCGATCAAATATCATACAAAACACATTAGATGTTTATCAATGTTTGCAGTACATTATGGAATATATTATAATGTAACATGAGATATGTCAAAAAGCATTTAAACAAATGCCATAATATTATCAAAGAAAGAACTGGTATTAATCCATCCATTACCATAAGTATTTCAATTAATGTAAAGGCTTTCAGTAAAACTTTTGATTTTAATAACCTTTACATTAGTTTTCCTATACATAAGAATAAAAAAAAATTCATAAGAAATTTCGAGATCTTCTAAGAATTCCGGTAAATAATTGCTTTGCGTTATTAATTAGAAATGTTTTTATGATAATATCATTCACACAAATTATAACTGTTTGTAATAAATCTTTGTAAGAAAGACTTCAACAAAAATTTGTACATTAATCCTGCTTGTAGATATATTTATTATGTTCTTTACTGAATTATCATGGCATAATGATCTGTAACTTACAGGAATACAGTCTCAATATCTTACTCATAAACTTTCAGATTGTTCAGAGTAACTCAATGGAGTAACTTTACTGCAGGTAAAAATAATGATGGTCGTCATACTAAAATGGTTCATTAATACCTTAAAAATTAAATAAGAAATCAAGGTTTTGACGTGATAGTTTTGTAAAGGCTGTGATATTCTGTAAAATTATTAATGCCATCGTCGAAAGCAAGAAACTTGTTCACTTAACTACAAAAAATAAAAAAAATTAGTGCTCAAAATTCTTTAGGAGAAACCATGTCTATAAAAAAAATTAAAATTAGTTGATGAGCTCTATCCACAAAATATTGTAATGTTGTATAAATTCTCCTGCATCTCATAAGATATGAATGGTTAACATTGTAGCATAACGTATTCAGAAATGGAAAGTTTATAACTTCAAAATTAAAATTGTCTATTTTGTTTAAACTTTTAAGCTTCAGCGTTTGGTTGACGACGCTCATATCCGGATAATGTGTTTTTTGTAGTGAAAGAGCTTTTAACCAGAGCGAGATCTGATGGATTACTGTGTTTGGCTGTGTCAAGAAATAGTATAACATTACGTAATCAATTTAGTTACATTAGTTTCTGTAATTACTTTAGTTATTGGTACTTTTTTTATTAAATATCGTTATTGCTATGATTTTTCTAGTATCTCATTATCACTTATAATTTCGGCTTCTTCTTAAAGATTCATTTTATTTATTACTTCTGGTTACCCGCTTTGATAATTGACTACTTATGTAAGAGGTAAGTTAAAGTCAGATTACTTGTGTAAGACACAGCTTATAGTATGTTTAGTAAGTTATTATTAGAGTATTTTAATCTTTTGATGATTTTCTTACTTATTTAATTTTCACCTTCGTAAGCCTTAGCTTTTTGCTGTACGATCTGTATTGTCATAATACCTGACTCTATAATTAGAATTATATGTGTCATAATAACTTAATTTAGGAGATAAACTATTCAAAAATTACACTATTGGAGCCGGTTAATGGGCTTTCATTGGTCACTAGAAGTTGTGAGAGGAGATTACAGAGAGCCTCGTTTATGCTGGTGTCTCACGTTTCAAGGAACAAAGAATCGGTGATAGTGCATAATGTAAACACTAGTTTTTATGTTTCTTATATGTATGTTATATACTATTTCCTCTCTATCGTTAGTTTCGTTAACAGTATAGTTCAAATTCTATAATATACTATTTCCTCTCTATCGTTAGTTTCGTTAACAGTATAGTTCAAATTCTATAATATACACAATATCAATTTTATTATTGTCAATTTTTTTTTCATTTATGAGAATTATTTAGCATTATTAGTTTATACACGAATTTTGGGCTAACTTAAATCTCCTAAACTGGCCGAATCTCATGAGACATTATTGTTATTACGGTCGAAAATATCGTCATTAAGGAAGGTATTCAACTGGTAAAACAATGCAGAATAATTAAGTACGGTATACTGAATTAGCAGTATTCATTAGTAGTTTAATTTTTATATCCACTTTACGTGGGAAATCTGCTTTGATTAGAAATTAATGACAAACTAACACTGGTTATTATCATTTCTTAATTGTTATAATTGTTCTTTGATTTTACGTGTAGTTTTTTCATTACGTTTCTGACAATTACTACACTTTAAAATAATGGTCCCATTACCATTACTTTTTATTTGGTTTCGAAATATTGGTGAAATAAAACTAAAGCTGAAACATATAAGCAGTTTTATTACCGTTGTCAGTGAGCTTCTCAGCTGGTTTGAGAGTACTGGCTGAAATGATCACAACACTGCTTCTTCCCTTCGCGTTCCATGCGTATACATGTAGTCTAAAGAGTGTCCCAACAGACAGGTTAGAAAGTTTAAAGCGCGGAGACTTCGAAGTTAAATTGGCTTGTAGACTGTTGTGTTCCACCGTGTAGACTTCGAGAGAGAATTTCTGAGTCATCCCTCCATCGTAGCCCTCTAGGCATTCAATAGCAATTTGATCTTGAGTTTGATTGAGGACAGAGCAGTTCTGCAAAGGATTTGGCGGCCCTAAACGTAATGAGAGAAGTTTTCTTATAAACAACAGAAACTGTCAGATAAACAAATTTATTCGATGTTGTAGGTGTATCTTCTCGTGCGTTAAACTATAGTTTCCATGTTTTCAGTTTCGATGAATTATAATTCAGATGTTCAATCATTCGAATCCTTACTTGTGGATTGTTATCCATGAAATATAGCCGAATATCGAATATGAGAGAAGGAAGAATTTAATATATATATTATATACATATTAAGCAGTGGATATATTAATTTCAAAACCTAAAGAAAACGGACCACAAAGCATACAATGTTCCTTTACCTTGGATAATATTTAAGGAAAAAGAAAAAAAATAGACTTTTCATCCAATTATACCAGAAACAAAAAATATCACATATAAAGATTTGTTTTGTTGGATTTTGAACAGATCTACTCAAGAGTTATTTATATTAGATGTCCCTAGTCAACACCACCTATAGCCAACTCTCAGGCTACTCTTGGATTCTTCCCCGAACTATGGATCAGACTGCAAAGTATAATCGTCCATATACATCTCCTGGCAATAAAAGGGGGTCTTCTGTAACCTATAGGGATACAGTATCAATATCTTACTCATAACCTTCCAGATTGTTCAGAGTAACTCAATGGATGATCTGTAACCTACAGGGATACAGTCTCAATATCTTACACATGGCCTAACAGATTTTTTATCTGTAGGAGTCTGGTGTGTTTGGCAGTAACTTAAGGGATGATCTGTAATCTTGTCAGCGTGCCGGATTGTAGAACAGAGATTTCGTGGTTCGCGCCCCCTTACCACAAACAAATAACGCTCTCCGTGGATGCTATTCAGTCTGAAGTGACACTTGTTTATACAACATCATATGGATAGATGCTGTTCAGTTTTCAGCAATGAAGTTATTATAAGGACAGGGACTAATACGGTATTTTAATATTGAGAGTTTTGAATTAAGTAAATGGTGTATTGTTAAAAGAACGAACCAATGGATTTAAAGCTTAAATTTAAAGACATTTTAAAATACAATATCGTAAATTCAAACGTGTGTGTGTGCTATAACAGCATATTTAACATTATCTGAAATTCTAAAATCATTATAACTCTTTCACTTTTATTTGATATTCATAATACATGATTGTTATGATGATCTTATTTAATGTACTTATAAATATAGTCAATATTTTGTGTAAGTGAATGAAAAAAACTCCTTTTACATTCAATACATTACTATTCTTTCATTGATTATATCTTGAAGTGGTAATATTTTAATATTGAATTTATATCTGTGTCAGGTATCTAGCATACTCAGCCTGAAAAAAGCACCTTATTCGGAAAAGACGTGTCAATGATCCAAGTAAGTAGACATAGCCAAACCTAATTTAGAACTTCTAACTATGAACAATAGTCATGATGTTTGGAACGGATATCCAAACATACAAAACCTTTCGGTATAGTAATTGAGAAATATGACAAACTGTGAATCCCTGATTATCCATTGGTTCATTATACGGTGTTTATTTACTATTTCGTTTTTAATTATCGTTCGTGTATTCGACGCACATCACACCACTATTTTATATACCTGAAATGTCTACAATTTTATCATGATCTTAAATACTAGACAAATAATAAAACATATAAGTAAAAATGGGATGCTTATTTTATGCATTGCAAGACATAGACATTGCTAGAAATACTGAAATGATATAATTACAAAAGTAGTAAACATCTTAATCAGATATTTGATACTATTAACCGTCGCATAATTTACCACTGTATAAACCTATTATACTTTAACTTCATGAGACACTAAACGAATATTCTGAATATGAAAGTACTATTCAATCGAAATGTAGCTAACAGGTTCAAACTTTTCTATTTAAAAGCAGAAAAAATAATAAGATCAAAGAAAAGAAAATGTCTCATTGTCAAATAATAAAACTGTTGAAGGCAGCACTTTAACTTCTCTCTCTCTCTCTTTTTTTAAAGACAGCTTTATGGTGACCTAAGCAATCCGTAGCTTAAGTGAATTAAGCCACTTGGAAATTTTATAACCTCCTTAATCTGCTTTATTAAATATAACACTAAAGGTTAAAATTGCATATAGTCTGCGATAATGGACGATACCCGCGTTTCACGATAAAATACTGACTGCTTGATGAGTGAAATAAAACTTCAAAATAGTTAATTAGGTTTTCATCTAGAAAACTACATTAAGAACCTTTGAAAAAATGTTTTATATGTATAATACACGTTTGTTGTTTCATTCCTGGAGAGAAAGAGCTAATATTAAATAAAAGTTTAATTTGAAATATTAAGAAAGGAGATAGAAAAACTTCATTACATTTAACACAAGCTCTAGAAAAAAGAAACATAAAATTAATCATTTATTATTCCAATTTAGATATTCCAGTACAAAGTGAATATACTAACGAGTTTACTTGAAACATGTTCATATATCTAACAAATGAATTTTAAACTTTCATAAATGGCATCATTAGCTGTATTTTGTTGATTCCAGTCAGATGATAAAAACCAAAATATCAAAGGTCATACAATAATTTCGGCACACGTTTTTGTCAAATGGATGATTATGCTAAATTAAAGTCAGAAAATGAAGTTTAATTACTTTTGTTTACTCATTACACTTGAATGCATATTTCTTTTTCTTAACTTAAAACTACGGAATGAGAAGTTTTGAAATCTACCTTATAAATCACTATAATGTTCTAATTGATTTCTGTTTATATTTTTCTAACAGAATGTTAATTGCAAATGTATTGAATTTTATTTTCATTTCGTATTTCTTAATAGAATGAAAAACTAATTGATAATTCAGTTATCACAAAAGTATTTTTTCGGTTTTAACTTTCTTTTTCAAATAGAGTGGCAAATTTCAGTTTATTCTCTGTTAACAAAGAAATTCTTTTGGCGGTTTTAACTTTATTCTTTGCAAGAAGAGTGACGGATTTCAGTTTATTCATCGTCAATTACGAGAATTTTGTGTTTGCTTTTCAGTTTATTCTTTCCGAATAGAGTGAGGAAATGTAGTTTAGCTTTAGTTACTCGCAAAAGATTTATGAGTATATTTGATAAAATGAGAAATTGTAGTTTTGCATTTAGTTATCATAGAAATTTTTTTACGCATTCAATATGATCATTTTATAATATAATAACTATTTCAGCTTATTGCTTGTTAGTCACTAGAGTACAGTGAGTGTTTCCAGTTTATCTTTTATTTGAAGAACAAGAAAGGACTGGCAAGGTGAATGAACAGAAGTTGGTACCAGAGTTAGAATTCAAGTATCACTAGTATTCAAGATACCAGGCGCACACTCAGTGGTGGGTTGCCAGGTGAGGGAGATCAAGAGATTCCCCAATGACGGTTACGTGATATGTAAATTATGCCCACACCTGAGGGTTACACAACTATTTCCTTATAAATACGTCATAGTTTCACGAATTGGAATTAGAAGGCACGTTACTAGAGTCATAGTTCTACGAAATGGAACCACAGGGTGCGTAGGTATTATGAGCGCACAAATAGTTTGCCAGTCAACCACCAGAGGGTGATATAGATAAACATATACTATAAAGATGATGATCTTTATAGTAACAATCAAAGTTTTGAAGTTAATATTTTATCTAATTTGCCTAATGTTGTTTTACAACAATCAGTACTGAAAAGTTTTTATCACAATTACAGTTTCGCTTTATATGTAACACTTACATTAAATCTGCTATTTTAATCTGGTTCTTATCAACTATACAGTTTTTGCTTATTTGTTTAAGTACATTATGTACATTATCTTAAAAAAGGCGGATGGTGATTCAATAGGCGGACGGTGTTACTAAGGGTTGTGTTTCTATAGGCGTACAATGTTACTGTACTTCCATAGGACTGAATACAAAGTTCAACTCATCTTAACTTATGTTTATAGTTTTCATTTATATATTTAACTGAATAACGTGTGTTTTACAAAGGTGAATGGTGTTATTAGGTGGATTGTATTAGTAAGGTTCTATAGGTGATGGTATTACTTGGCAAATTGTGTTACTAAGGTTAGTGTTGCTAAAGCAGACGGTATTTCTATAAACAGACTAATGAACAAAGGTTAGTAGGAGAGTATAACTGAGTGTAAAGTAAAGAATAATTGAATGCTAACTCAAATGTCCTAGACTAGTATGAAACTTAATTTAATATTGACCATCCAGTATTTTATAATTCAAACATTTTTCAGTTTGTGTCATTCCCAAATATCAAAGGATATCGAACTGCCAGCGGAATTTTGTTACTCTGGATAAATTTGAAGAACACAACCCAAATTGTAAGATGGACATGATATTGTTATTTCTTTACGTGTCTAAACAATTGCACCTTGAATACGTTAGACTATGTATGGATCTTGATAATTTATATTTGTAAAACAATAGTAGTTTTAAACTACATATATATGCGAGTTCCAGATCGAAAACAGAAACTAGTGACTTCCTAATGTACTCTCGAATTTTGAGAATGCCATGAATGTATATTTAACTTTCTGTATCATTATTTAAAGTGGAAGAATAGATAAATTCATTTTGCACTGACTGTCAAGTTCAGTGGCATACGAAATCTGTTCTTCATCGTTTGACTTATATACAACTTATTTTGGATGTAAAGTATATTCTGTAATGATAAACAGTATTTATTAAATGTGAAAGAATTGTCTTTTCTTTGTAGGCCATATCTTTTATTGTAAGAAGCAACAAAATTGAAATATTATGTAAAGAATTTTACAGATTTTTTTCTTAAAAGCTTCAAAAGTAAAATATATGCACATTATTTGTGATAAATCTTGGATAAAGTTGTCTTTTTCTAGCTTGAACTTTTGTTAATATATATTTCAGTATGTGTGATACTTCAAAAGTCTGTGATTTTTTACTGACCTTTACTGGCGATAGCTTTTAGGCTATGGTGAAAACACGTCAGTTTTAAGCAACATTAGGAGGGCC